TGTATCATAAATACCAATTAGAGGGGATAATCACAATTAAATGATTTTTTAATAATGTTCTTAGATCATATCTGTAATAAAAATTTCTAATTTTCCAACTTTCAGCCATCTACCTTATAAAAACATTCACTGCCAAGGTTTGTGCGAAGAAAATAAGACCACCAGAAAATACTTTATACACAAGCTTCTTGAAAAACTAGTGCCAGTGTTAATATTTTCTACATCCTTTGGACAAAAACCACCTCACTGAGAAATTCCAAACTGTCAAATCCTTTATTTTAACAGGCTGTAGTTATTACTGGAAAAACTCTTTGATGGCCAAGTACTTAACTCCTTCAGTCTAAGTTCTAATAAAAACTGCCAAGTTTACCTAAAAGTTTAGGAGGATGAATTCATCAATATTGTATTTGAAAAGACAAAATGTTTTCTAGATTTTCTTCTGACACTATGATATGCAAAGCAGTCCAGCTACTTGGACTGAGTTCAGAAAGTATTCAGAAAGTTGTAAGTTCAGAAAGTATTTCCTTTTGGAAAAAGAAAATGCATTTTAAATACACACCCTAGATATTTAAATTATGACAGAACTAAAGAAGTAAAACGTCCCAGAATTACTACTGATTACATTTTTCGACAAACACTTGAAGCAAGTCAAGTTTTAGTAATACATAATGAAAACTTTGTAAGTTAAATACTGAATCAACTTAAATAAGCCTGTGCGATGTGTTCTAAGAGATACTTCTGGGTAAAAAAGATACTTTCACTTACTTAAACCTCTTACACAGCAGAGCTGAATGCCACAACGTCTCAGGGGCTTATGATTTTACTAACATACTTGCTTCTGTTAAGTCCAGACAAAATATGTTTTAAGATGACACTGTGAAGCCCCAGGCAGGTAACTTGTCCTCCAAATACGCAATACACAACCTTGTCCAACCTTTGTCCACCTCTGCAGCAGCAGCACCCCCCACCCCAGGCACGGCGGGGGGGGGGGGGGGGGGACGGACACACGGGACAGGAACCCCTCCTGCCAAGTCACGTCCTAACCCCCCAGGGGAGGGGGGGCAAGGGGGGCAATTAATTTATCTCCCAGTACTAAACCCTCACACTTCAGCTACCAATACCCTCACCGAGAACCAAAATGTAATGACTGTAAAGTTTTTACTGGCTACTGCTTACGAACACTAAATTACACAACTAGGTCATGATATGTACTTTCTTCAAAAAGAACCAAGCTCCCAAATCCCTCCTCTAAAGGTCAACACATTTAAATAAACGTCCTCGTATCTTTTGTTTCTCCTATCCCCAGAAACCCCCCCCAAAAAAAAACACCCCACCAACACCAAAAAGGTTAAATTACCAAACCCATCAGTCCTATTTATGCATACAGGAAATAACCAGAAACTGCAAAGAACTAGGGTCCAAAGAGCCATGTTGTAATGAGTAACTCAGAACTTAACCGGGTTAGTAGTCTTGCACTTTTCTCTCCCACTTCCATCCTGCCCCATCTTCCCTCCTACACAAGCACTTTCCTTTTCTCTCCCTTTGAGGTCTACAACTATAATACAGGGTAAAGGAGGGACAATACTATTTTTCCAGCAGTACAGTTTGCAGGGATATCTGTGAAGCAAATTTAAGCTGAGTCCTGATATTGGGAAGGTATTTCACAATTAGGCATTACACACACACACACACAAAAGTGTTAACAACTACTGCTCTAAAGTGAGGTAACCCACAATAAAAATTTGGTTTATTACATAATACCGGGTCCATTTCTTTTCTCTTTGACCCACTGCTACTTAATACGAAGAAGCAATGTAACATGCTAAACATGGGGAAGGGAATGGTCTGGTTAGGATGAAGAGGTGGTTGTTATTTTTCACAAAACAATTTAATTCCTGCCAAATTTAATTATGTAATCCTCACATCTTCAGAGAATTTTAAAACTGGAAGAGTCCTTACAGACCCTCTCATTTTTACAGATAAGGAAAACTAAAAACTTAAGCCCAAGATCAAGCAGTTATGTAATGACAAAACTGGGACTTCTGACTTAGTTCATTAGGTATTTTCTTTGGTATTTGCACATACATAACAGTCTTCCAAAGATCAAAGTTATAGACACAACCACCAATGAACCGCGGCCTGTAACATAACACACATATATAATTTAAAATTCACCTGTTACAAAAAACAGAGGTCATACTCTTTGCTATTTCTGTATCTCTGAGCTTTGTGTCAGTTGGGACAGGCAGAGGAAGGTGAAAAATTAAGGCGAAAATGTAGGAAAAGAATAGTAAATAGCAAGCTAGTTGAGATCAACAGACAGGACTGTTGGAGTTGAGAGCTACTGAAAGACAAGAATGAAAAAAGGGCAATGGCACTGCTTTCAGAGGGTTCTCAACCTGTAACAAGAAAAGAGCTAAAGAAATAACAAGGGACAGGAGCAACATTAAATTACTGGAATGTGTGTTACATAAGACAGCTGACTGGAGTGATCAGAATTTTTGGTGGCAGAGAGACACCAGAATTCTTTGGTAGATTCTAAGGTAGTGGAATCTGCCTTTTTAAACTAGAATTCAAGATGACACCAGGGCAGGGGGCCATGGAGTGTACATCTTGAGAAACAAACATCATTTGGATATTGTGATCTAGAAGGATTTAAAGGTACTAAAAATTTCTTCTTCAGGAGTTCTGGTTCATAACCAGCTTTACTTGATTCTCTCAACCAACCAGGCAGGCAAGGATATGCCCCAGGCAAACCGGAAGGCTGATTCTGTGCCGAATCCAGGCAGTCAAATTCAGTGGTTACCATAAAGTCACCCCAAGGAGCTAGAGCACATTATGTAATCACAGTCGAAGTGCAAGATGAAAATATCAGAAGTTCTTTCACAATGTCTGTTATTAAGCTAAGTCTTCATTTACCGTTAAGTGACTGGTTATTAGGATTCTACTTTTAATGTAGAGCAATATTTTGTCACTTAGTGAAGAAAAGAAGTCTTTGAGTTTATAGCTAGAAAAAGAATTAGTCATTTTTTTTAATCTGCCTATTCATCCATGACTGCTGCTCCATGACTGCTGCGTGGTTACAAAGGAATACTCTGGACCTCACAGCTTATTTCCAGTATTTTTATCTGGATATGAATCTAAGAAAATAGAAACAGAAAATGCACAGAGCTACAAATGGTTACTTTTTCACAGCAGCTGTGACCACAAAATTTGAGTATGTTGAAACTGTGAGAAATTCTGCGAGTCTGAAAATGGGGTTATGTTTCAGGAATGACAGAAAATGTCTAAAGTCAGATTTACAGCTACCTAGCAAATTAATTCTGACTTTTATCCAGAGTTCCAAATGTCCTTCAATACAGATCAAGAGAAAAGCTCTCTGAAGTGACATCATCTGATTCTTTCTCCCTCTCTCCTTTTCTAAAAGGAAGGAATTATATTTACAGGATTTTTAAGAGATACATACTAGGATTAGAATCTCTATATGTATCTGAGATTGTTATGACAGGGCACTTGACAATCTATTTTAGGTACAATGAATGTTAGATAAACATAGAGCTAAGATAATAATTTGCTACTCTAATTATCCTCTGTGCATTCCAAACATTTTCTTTTAAGACCAAGACTGTTTGCAATGGATTCAGAAAAACAATAGCAATATCAAAACTCTTAATCCTTTTAGGGAATCAGTTCCCTGTTTGTATTTCAAGGCAAGGCAGTCATTTAAATATCAAACCCTGACGTTTTTGTTTTTAACTAGAACATTTCCAAAAAATAAGTACAGGCAAGTCCCCATTAACATTACAATCTCAAATTTTTTGACAGTATATTAGTGCCATATTTTTCAACAGTAATTTTCATTACATCATATTAAAAAACACTTATTACTCACACCTGCACACAATCATTGCGTTTTTTTAAATTAAAACTAAGTTTACCCTACTGATAACAGGTTCTGAAAAATGCTAAGGAAAAAGGAAGTTGAGCAACATAAATAAACTTCTACAGTTAATTTTTACAGGACTGAATGTTTGCAGCCTAAAGATCATCTCGTAGAGAACAGGCTACAAGGCTTTCCTTTTTAACCTGAGACAATTACAATTATATATCCTAAATATATTATTTTTGTAATCCGCTAAAAGTTGGCACAATTATAGTTCCACTCCTGATTTTTAATTAGGACTAAAAAGAGGGATTTTGTGAAAGTAAAGGAGAATTTTAAAAGGGACGTGAACGAGTTTCTCCCGTTTAGTTTCACTTAGTGTTAAAGGGGTCCTCATAAATATGCTTATATAATTTAAAAGCCAGTCGTGGGTTTTACAGTAGCATCTACACAGTAATTACTGATCCTTACCAGGAATATTTGTTTTAATTATAAACATCAACAGCCAAAGCCTATTCTGAGCAGATCTTCACGTCACTTTCTCCCCTCAACCGCTCCTCAGCCCCCTCTCCAGACCCCAATGTGAAGTTCACCTGCCAATACCCAAAGGCCGTGGAAAAGGAGGTAACGAAGAAAATGCTTTTAAAATTAAGAGGCTTACAGCAAGCAGCTGGACTTAGTCCAAGTGCTGTTCAGCCTAGAAACGAAAGTAGGAAGCAACAGAGGTCTAGGCTTGGAATGATGTCAGCCATTTTAGGAACATTATTTATACTGGGAGGAAGTGCCAAACTCTGTTGTTTTTGTTGTTTTGCATGTCGCCGCTCGCCTCCGGGTGGAACGAACCCAGTCCAGACCCCACGCACGTTCCCCCGACTGCACAACGACCGTGAACTCGGCCCAAATTCTTCGATCCCTCTCTCCAGGCCTCCCAAGCCCCCGATCCCGTGTGAGGCTCCACTTCCTGCACACGCACTTTCTTACAAAGGAGAAGCTGCGGCCGGACAAGAAAAGGGAGCAGCCCCAGATGGGGGCTCCGCGCGCAGAGCCGCCCCCGGCCCCGCGCAGCCCTGCCAGTCGGACTGACCGCCCACTCCCCCGACCTCCTCGGCCCGCGGACCTTGCAGTCCACCGCGACGGCATCTGGGGGGATGATGAGTGCCTCCTCGCCGCACTTGGGCTCGTCCTTCTTGGCCTCCTTCTGAGCCAGAGCCGAGTTGAACGTCACCTTCACCATGGCGCGGCCTGGGGCGCCCTCGGGGGGCGACGGCGGGCTGGAGGCGGGGGCTGCGGGCTCCTGGCTGCAGCTGCAGCCTCCTCGGCCGGGCTACGGGCGCAGCTCAGCTACAGCTGAGGACGGGAGAACCGCTCGGCGGTGGCAGAGGCGGCTACTGCGGCACCGCTCCCGCAGCCTCGCAGCTCCCGGGCGAGGGCGGAGACGGCTCGCACCCCCGGGGGCGGGGTCAGAGCGGTGAGGACGGGAGGGGCGGGGCCGGAGGCGGGCGGGAGGGGCGGGGCCGGAGGCGGGCGGGAGGGGCGGGGTCGCGCGCCGCGCCAGACTCTGCTCCCGCCCCAGGTCCCACGCAGCACCCAGCCGGGGCGGGACGGGCGTTCCTTGGGTGAGCGCCCAGATTTTCCGGTTCTGAGTTTGTTTCCAGCAGTTTAACCTCGGGGCTCAATGTTGCAGGTTTGTAACAAAATCAGGTGAACTTTCCTGGGTTTGCGGCGCACGACGGATTAGGCCGTCCTTTTCCTGCTTGCTGCCCCCAACGCAAGTCTAAAGACTGGAACTTTTGGGCGTCCACACCTCCATTTCCTCTGTATTATGGAACCGACCCAGTGGAGCGCAGGAATGTTTAATAAACTCTATCCTTGTGAACTGACTTCTTTTATCTTCCTAGGACCTCACCCAAGGGCGTTACCTCACTCAGACTTGCCTCGTCTTCTCTCCCTCCTTCCCTCCCCTGCCTACTCCCAGAGCAATTTGGAGGAAGGCTGTTAGCAGATTCGTATTTGTTACATCTCACATTCCTAAAACGAAATGTTCCACTCTTGTGCAGATCTGAACAAAACCTACGTGCACACCGGGCTATCTTGTGATTCAAAATCAAGGTACTCCATGATGAATCTTCAGTAGTTTTCTGCAAAATAAGAAGAATACACACACACACACACACACACACACACACACATAAAGAATATAGAAAAAGAATATAGAAAAGAAGGTATATATATATGATAAAGCAAAATTACATTTTGAAAAGATTTTACTTATAACCAGTGTGAGAAAGGATACTGGCCTGCACTGTTCCTGGATTAATGATTGTGTGACCCTTTGGACAAATGGTTGATCTTGTACCCTTCTCCCACCACACTCTGTCCTGGTTCAACCTGAGATGTGGGTATACTCTGGAAATGTTTCAACTGTGTCAACTCTGACCTCGGTCAACTGTGAAGAAAGTAGTTTGAGGCTGAGCTGCTTGGAAATGTGGCTCTGCTCAAGGAAGAGGTTAGGTCTCAAATTCTATAGAATCAGATATAAAATCCTTGTAAAATAGTTCAAGATCTTCGTAACTTTCAGATTGTATATTTCCAAAGATCATACTGGACTGAGAGAGAAACCCAAACCAGAACTTAACTTTGCTTAGGCATTCTGAAATTTCAGTGAAAATTAAGTGCTTAGTAGAGAATGGCAAAAATTGAATTCCAGGTCTGGTGAGTTCTGACCCTAGCCAACCATATGTCTTGTGGCAACTTATTGAAATTCCCTGGGCCCCTCTTGTCCAGGGATCAACTTTGCAAGGTTTACTTTGTGAACTGGCATAGTTTCATAGATTTCCTGACACACTACAATTGAAAACTAAGGAATTCTGAAAACAAGATCTGGAGGACTATAAAGGATTATACATATATCCTTCCTGCTTCTCCTTTTGTTATGATGGGATGTTGGAAAAATATTTAAGGCATTTGCACTACATAGAATTAGGGAAGAAAATAAAACAAAATTCTGGACACTGTTAAGTCAGGAAACTAAGGCAAAGGAAGAATGAAGGCATTTGACACCCTCCCCCATTTCTATTCTACAAGACCTGGGAATAAAAAACCATTATTTTGCATACTAGTATCCAGCAACAGCTTAAAATCAGTTGGCAAACAGTCTGGGAATAGTCTCCTGGTTTTGTTTCCCCATTTTATCTGATGTGTCTACAAAACAGTGTAGTGCACAACAATACAGCGGAGATAATAAAGAAGTTGAATCAAGACCAAACATAGCAAAGGCAGTCCCCTGATTTAATAAAAGGTTGCCTGTTGACCCTGGAGGGAGTGGGGGAGGAGGAAAGTTGATGACTCAACAAAAGAAAGTTAAAAACATAGTGATTGGTTACCATTAACTACTGAATGTAAAGGAGCTTCTAGAAGACCTTTGTTTTCTTTCTTCACAGTGATTTTGGAAGAATAAGGAGACTCTATTTTAAAAGTGGTCCTTGCTTTACATTTCACCTTGATGTTGGTGTTTTTCAGTTTAACCAGGAGGGAAGACAAAATAGAATCAGAAAATTAAATTCAAGAATCTTAGACCATTTAGACTCATATGATGTGCTTGGAGATGGATTTTTTTTTTTTTAGGTTGTTTGCATCTCCATACT